TTACATGATTAAATTGTATTTTTGGGAACATAACTTACTTAAGTACAACATGCTACTAGCCTACTTCCCCCCCCCCCGCTGGTGTTTTGTAATAAAAAAACATTCTTACACATTTCTATCAAATTGTGTCTGGTGACAACTATTAAAAGAGAAAAACATGCTACAGAACCTTTCATCCTGTCAACTTTTCACAACTTTCCAACAGTCTTCATGCTACGTTATACAAATCACGCAAATGTTCGGCGCGTTGAATACATCCTCTGATTTACTGACACACTTTATAGTCAATCAATGGTTTCATATCAGTGTCTGCATCAGTGTCCTTCTGTACCAGTGCGGCAGTTTGAATAGAGAATGAATGTCCGTGACACTGCTGTTCAGCCCCCTGGGTGGTCTGAGTCGTGTGAGTGTTTGAGATGGGTCGTCGATCAGTAATGGACTGTGATCTTGGTGACAGACATATTGATTTGTGCAACGTGACGCCTCCACTGTGTGAGCCCTCAACACGTCGATAGAAATGTGTGCCGTTGGTCAGTGAAAAGAGAAAGCAAAAAATCCACAAGTTTTTTTTGGTATTCTGCTTCGAAGTAAGTTACAGTGGAGTACTGAAGGGGATGCTATGGACTACATAGATACAATGCATCTGAAAATGGTTTCTAGAACTAGATTTTATATCACAGATTTCCTATATTTCATCATGGGGAACATTTACGGAAAGTGGAATAAACATTTTGTCAGAATATGTTCAAACTGTCTTTGTTTCCACACAGTGAATTCTATGTGTGGTTTACACTCGTAGGTTAGACTCAGATGCTGAAACTAATCCCTTCTGTGCTTCCGCTTCAAGCCAAACTTGCTCGAAAAAAACTCTTTATACCTTTTATTAGCAAGATAATATTAGTTTACACTCGAACTAGGACTTGGAAAATCCCTAAAGCATGTTGAGAGAATGCACATTTGTTTAGGTTTTGATGATAGTTTAATACTTTGACCTATTTTGCAGCCATGAGAAAGAAATCCTAAAACTGATAGATGCACTGTAGAAGGCAAGTTTCACGAAAGCAACACTTTAAACAACAACATGATGTATAAAGCATCTGTGTTTAGATAATAACTCGAGAAACATGGTTTACATTGTGATTCTTAATCTATGGAGTCTGACGCATGAAACGGATTATACAGCAATATTATTATTATTATTATTATTAATAATAATAAATAAATAAAGTGAAAGACTGTTAAAGTGGAAGTTCATGGTTTCTTTCAAACAAGTTGATTCAGTACTTCTAAGTTCAGGAGGATAACGCTGATATCTAATTTAGGAAACGTTCTTATATTTTGCACCGTGTGCATTATATATGACGCTTAAGCAATCTTCTTAAATTCCCCCCATAATTCAGTTCAGTGGCTCATTGTTCATTTACTGCAGCGAGCCGTTGGCTTGCTGGCCAGCTGCCTGCTCTGCTTATAGGCTGACAAACTGGAGGATTGATTGGCTGTGCAGCTCATTGACTGGCTGACTGACGCGCCCGCGGGCCGGTTAGTGGAGCTGAATGGTTGGCTGGCAGCGTGACCAGCTGGTTGCTATTTGAAGTCCTGCTGGCTTGCTGACAGACTGGTGTGATGATCCTGATGAATGTCACACTGCTGTTTGGACTTCTAACTGGCTGAATGACTCCTGATCCATTTACAGCTGTGGGGGTCTGTCTAATAGTGTAGTACCTCAATCTGACCACTAGAGTGTACCAGAGCTCATCTCTACCCTCAAGCACATCAAGATGAATTCATTTCACGAGTTAATTGAAGTAGGTAAACGCTTGAATAGATGTTTTGATCACTTAGCTATGAATGTGTGTGTGTGTGTGCGTGCGTGTGTACGTGCACCGTAAGCTGTTAAATGTCATAACTTTGAGAGTTGAAAGCTTTTGCAACATCCGACCACACACACATAGACACAGAGCATTATTGTGTCTTAAAGCGCTCTCATGACAGAAGAGCAACTTGATGTTTTCAAGTCAAAGACAGAGTGGGAATGAAAGAGTGAGCAAAAGAGGGCGATTCTTTTAGAGAAGAAGAAGAGTTGTTTTCATCCTGAACTACAGAGGATCAACAGCTGCACTCTTTCTTTTTGTCTCTTTTCCCAATCAGCCAGTTTGATATCAAAGAATATGATAAATATGGAGTATTATACTCCCACCTATTGTACCAGAAAGTATTGTGTTCGTTATAATAGAAAGACAATTTCCAGTCCATTGATGGCTGTCTAAAATATACATTTCCTTCCCCCTTTCTACTCATAATAACATCCTTTGGCATCATTTATCATTCATCATTCATCACTCATCATTCATCATTTCAGCTGTTCTGTTTAGTCAGGACTCTCTGAGCGTCGTTTGATCAGATTTGATAAACCAACAACCCCACAACTGGTTGAACTCTAACTGGTGCATAAACCAGTGGGAAAAGAGAAAAACACAAATAACTTCATTTCTGATGGGAAATAAACAGAAATGTTTAAACTTGCTGATTTTTTTTGTATTCATGCATCTCATCGCTCCGAGTAAGAAGCTGACTCATAAAATAAGTTTCTGCACCATTAAGACTTAAGACTTTGTGCTGAATTTACTGCTGCAGCATGCAACAAGCTCCTCTTTGTAACATGTCTCTGACTTAGCCGGTGGGAACTTTGTACCAATAGTTCCTAAATCCCCTCACAGACTTCACTCGGCCTGTTTATTCCCCAGCAAGTGTAGCAAGTTTAGCTACATGAGCCCCACTGACTAGTACATTTGTTCTAATACAACCTAGTATCTGGTGACACATCAGTTTCTATGCTACTTTTTCCTGCATTATATGTATGATATAAACTGCTACATACATGCGTGTATTCATAGAACAGCTTTTACATTCAACCCGCTCTCTTGTGACATAAAAAAGGGGCTAAATTGTGATTTTGAATGTTGTTTCTACTTCCTTTCAGGGAGGGGAAGCTAGCTAATCACACAATAAACAGAAAGACATCAAACAGCTCTGGAAATGAGACTGTCCACGAGGAGAGAAACTGGCTTCCAGTCAGACAAGAGAGGGATATCTTTACACGACTGTTCCTTCCCTGCAAACATCCATCCTACACATTTCTACTACATAATCGATGGCCTGATCGCACCAAACAATACAAGGCTCACTGCAGTTCCCGCACTTTTGACCTTTCCACAGGATATGACACAGATTGTACTGCTTGTGTGTGTGTGTGTGTGTGTGTGCGTGCGTGGACATCTGTGTGTGTTTTCATCCACAGTGGAAATGCAAACACACCTGGAGTACCACAGCTGACAGCAACACTTTCACACATGTTATATAATACCTGGAATACAGTAGCCCTATTTGCGGTCAGCACACATGCACACACACACTCTGTTGACACTTGCACACAACCCTAATTTGACCAAAGAAATACACACAAGTACTGTTTGTCCACGTGTGTGTGCAGAGTTGAATGTGTGTGTGTGTGTGTGTGTGTGTGTGTGTGGTTAGCTCCTACATGTTCTCGTGAAAAGGACTGAGTTTGCTTTTCAGACTGAGGTGTCAGCATCCAAACGTATGAGCTCATAGATGGAAAGGAGGGATGGATGGGAAAGAGGGATGGAAGGTAGGGGAGGATGGAGAAGAGAGGAGATCAAGAGAGAAGAAATGGGGAAGCCTCATCTAAGTACGTGTGTGTAGTGCGGACTACTTTGCACTGATAGGTGTAGTGAACACTGTTTAAACAATGGTTTTCAGGTCAAATAAGATCATGCGAGAGACACAAGATCATAGTTTAGCTTCACTTTGTTAATAAGAGGTCCGTGAAGATGTTTTATCTAGTTTGCATTCCATTTATCCTCACATGGGGAGAAAGAGTATGAAGCTCGGTAACATTTTCAGTTACAGCGCTAAACCGAAAACTGAATCTCTGCATAAATACATTAACTGAATAAATGTGTTTCTCTACACGTTGCTTTTTTCATTTCTGGTCTTGCCCTCCGATTCAATTTTGGTGAAATAACTAAATCAATATATTTGCCCTAATAATGAAGCCGAAGCTGTGCAGGGTGAGTACAAGAAGAAACGCAAAGACATAAACAGAGAGTGATAGAAATATAGACAATATAACGTATTGTATGTCAGCTAGATGATATTGTGATAAGTGAAGGATGACTTCTCTGTAATCACCTCTCTTAGAGGGGGGCTCAGGTGCTGTGTGTGTGTGTGATTATGATTTACAACAGTGCGACAGCCTAAGCACAGTGGCAGACCTATGATTTAACAGGTGAATTATCCTCCTATAGCCCCGGGGGGATTGGATGAACGTCTCCTGTGAGTGATGTTTACATTGAAGCCTGCAGAAAACCGCTGAATATCATTTCATGTCCAGTTTCAGTCCATTTAGTTTCGATGGATTCAATCACTTTTCTCAGATTTTTGCTAAACGTCTTGAACTTCATTTAACCAAGCAAAGGCTGCCTTGAAGTACAAAGTATTCTCACAACAGAGTGGAATCTTTGTGGTTTAAAAAAAAAATACTAGTAGTATTACTTATACCACAGCTATTGGTACTGCATGCCAGTACCACCAATACTCCTTCCTACTACATAACGAGCAGACTACGACAATGACAATTGACTGAATCAAATCTAAACTTGTGGCTGTGTTGCACATAAAAGGTTGCTTGTGTGCATCTCATATCTTTTTATGGTTCAACCCGTCCCAGAGATACTGTCAAAGCCCAATAAATGTGTGCAACAACTAGACGACTCAACGTAACGTGTTGTGTGATAAGAAAAACTGTCTGTCTGTACACATGTCCCACCAGCAAAATGTCCACAAAAGCGTCTGCAGGAGTTTAAAACCAACACAATCCAGCCTTGTTTGTGGTTCCAGTAGCAATAGTAGAAACTGCATCTGTGGCAGTTTTTGTCTGCATTCTGTAAATAACAAACAAGCACATTTGTCGTTCCTACCTTCACATAGTCCACCGTGGCGTCCAGGCCGGCAGCAGGCTCCCTGGGGAACAAAGACAAAGACATGGTCCTGTTTAGTGAACACATCTTGCTACTGGACCCAAACTGCTCGCTGTTGATCTTTAGTTCCTGCTGCAAACAAACTGCTGAGCTGGTTGTGTTACATCCAGGTGGGTCCCTATAGCTGGTGCTGATGCTGCTTCTTTAGAGCTCTTTAGCAGATGTTTCGGTGGAGGTGTGCCGCTTTGTTTTGAAAGGTCCAAATGGATGTCACTGGTCATAACACCTGTCCATGTTAGACAGATGCTAGACCAAGAAGGCACAGCTGTACTGTAAAGCTGGCGTACAGTTGACTGTAATGGCAGTGCTGTCCTGACTTCAGTTGTTTTCTGAAAGACGGAAGTCGAGTGGAACCAAACCTCACACTGAACTGCTTTAAATCAGAGTCCCTCTCTTTCTGTGTCCCATCCGCAGTCTGTCTCTCACTCTTTCTTTCTCTCAGTCAGTGGTAAACATGTTCACTCACTGCCTGCTTGACTTGGCCTCTCTCTCTCGCTCTCTCTCGCTCTCTCCTCCCCCACCCTAACACACATCGCAGCCACACGCCTGGCCTTCAGAGTCCACTGACAATTTCACAGAGAGGTTAGAGCACACACATAAAAACAGCAGCATTTTCTCCTTTGAAATAAATAAATATATTTTTGCAATTTCTTTGATTCCTTCAATAATCCAAAAACATCCACACCAGACAGCAGTTTGGAATCTGTTCCCTTAACAACCGCTCGCTCCAGTCTCGTTGGCTTTTCTTGGACACTTTTGTTTAAATGTCAGAATACACAGAATACATGTTCAGGCCGTGTATTTTGGCATTTTGTCTGATCTGAGCAGTATAAGGTCCCCACATTGTGTCTGTATTTATTCCCATTGCTCTCCATCTTTGCCTTGAATATTTGGTACTTGAGTGTATACATGTAGCTCTGAGTCTCTCTCTACAGGAGGCTTACAGCCAGGGGCTCAGGGAAAGAGGTAATTAGCTCAAATCCCTGACTACGTTACCAAGGTTGGTAGTTTAAATCCCTTAAGCCTACACTGGTGTTCCCACGGGAATATTAGCAGTCCATTACTTACCAAACCAAATATGTTTAGCTCTCAGCCCTCTCAGTTTTAACGTGGCCCCAAATAATGAGTGGGATTAAGTTATGTAACTAAACAGAAGACTCCATTCACAACAAGGTACAGTCATTATTCATAGACGGTGGAGTGCTCAGGCCTCTCCATCAACCTCAGAGTCTACAGCAAAGTCCACTCTGCAGAGCTGAGGAAGCTCAGTGAATGGCAACCGATCCTGTTCCAGGCCTAAACAGCAATTGATTGGTGCATCAGAAAATAGCTTTCATTCGTGGTTATAGTGATGAGTGAAAGGAGCTCATAGTTCTTCATTTTCACCACTGCCGAGGATGAAGGACAGACGAAGAAGAGGAGGAAGAGCGCAGGACGTTTCTGTGGTCTCAACCGGACATTCAGTTTGACATTGACCACACTTACTGTACTTGCATGGGTTGCTTTGTTGGACTCCGCGGTGAGCTGGACCTCTTTGATTGGCCCCAAAACCTTCACCACCCCAACCACCACCTGCCCCTCGTAACCCCGTCTGAGGTGGGTGAGATGAGAATCACCGCATACCTGACAACACCCATGTGAACGCTGCTGTCGCTGAATGTGCTACGACTGAGGGAAATTCCCTCTTCTCCTCAGGGAGGTCAAAGGTCAGGCTCACAAACAGAGCAGCAGCCCTGGAGCTGATGGAGATTCATCGAGTTTAAACCCAGGACGTTGAGTGAAGGATGACGTCGTCTCTGCCCTGCATCTTGATGAATCTGTATTCTTCCTGATAATGATTAGTAAGCCTCACTGCAGCCCTAAAATAACTGCAACAACGTATAGTGAGAGTGAGATGCACAAGCTGACCACAGCTAACTTCGCCTTTTCTCTGCCCATATTGCTGAAACAGCATCAGAGGCCGGATTTTTCTGCTTCTACGACCACAAAACTGACCTGCAACACAGACAGAGCTCTGAGGACAGAAGGAGTGGAAGCGAGTGAGAAGGGGAGGAACAAAAAATAACACAAGTAGGGAGGGCAGAAGCAGACAGCACTCGCCACAGTCTTTTTCTGGCTACTGTTGTTCTTTGCGCTTCACCACACAATACTCAGCACGACCACAGCTGGCTTTAGCGAGTGACTGCACCATATTTGTGTGTGTGGGAGAGAGTGAGAGAGAGGGAGAGAGAGAGTGATGAGCAACATGCAGGGTCTGCAGGCGGCCTGCAGAGGTCAGTGTGTTTTCATAAAGAAGAACCACAGACTCAGTGCAAAGTTAGGATCTGCTCTTAATAGCTGTTTCCAATCCACATTATGAACCTCTGTACTGAAAACCTGTAAACTATAAAGATTACCATACAGTACATACTGTAATGTTAGTATGTAGTTTGACATTGGGAACCAGGAATGGCAGAAATTGAATATAATATTAATAAGTATGTTTCCTTTAAAGTATAATAACTTGACAATAGGATTGTTTGTGTTTTCGTTACCTTAGAATGGGCCGTTTAGTTCTACATACGAAGCTGGTCCTCTTTACGGAGCCGGCCGCCATGTTGCTACGGTAGTCCAGAAGGGACAAACCAAACACTGGCTCTAGATGGGGCCATTGGCGTTTTGGTGTCAGCCACCATAGTTCTCCTGCACGGGACAAGTTTCAGTTGGTTGCAATAGATGCCTCCAAATCCTAAACATGGCACCTTTAAATGTTTATATCTGGAGCTGAGTCTCTGCTGACCCCATGCCTCTTCATCTCACATCCTCCTTTTATTTGCAGCACTAAAGCAACCTGCTGTTTTTTCTATCAGGGGTGTCACTAGGGCAATAAATCATCAGATATGAACACGTTTGAATTTTTAGTTACTTAACATATACATCTTTTGCAATTTGAAAGAGAATATAGTGTAAACAACGGATGTAACAACTGCTAAGAAATACATTTAAGCTATCGGTCTGATTTGATATAAAATAAAAGGAAGAAGTTAATCCAAACACAATCAACAGATAAATGTGTCCGTTTTTCACATCTTATGTTGAGGAAATGAATCTGTCGATCTCTTCCCCTCTCATTCCTCTTTGCTCTACTCCTTTCCACTCTTCCTCTCTGCTCTCTCGTTTTTTCCTCCTCCCCCTCCTCCTCCTCCTCTCCTGGTGGTCTGCTGAGCTGCTCACGGAGGTCAACAGAGAGACAAACTGACCAATCGGAGGTTAGTGCAACATAAGGTTGGGGGGTCATAGGTCAGCTGACAGCATGAGCAATGGAAAGTCAAGACCGACTGGCCAGTGGTTGCATACCTTAGAGACACACACTGAGAAAACTCAACTGTGAACTGTGTGTTGCTTCAAAACAGCAACAGTGAGATGCTGTTCATTATTTCGCCACCTGCGCAGGTTGAATTTGACCTGGACAAATTGTCCTGCTGTATGTCAGCAGTGTATGAAATGTATCCAGCATGGAGGCAGAAATATGGAGAGGGTAGACAAAGAGCTCACAGTAATCTGTGATCTGTCCTGCCACACCCTGACCTACAAAGGTAACCCAACTACTGGGGGCTACGCACACACACACACACACACACACACACACACACACACACACACACACACACAGCTGGCTACATCAGATACTGTCTGTCGTAACTCTACACTAAAGATGGAGAGATGGGAGGACATGATGAAGAATGAGGTGTGCATGTTCCCTCTGAAGTTGAGCTAACTGCTACACCCCCTCAGGGCTCTTTACGGACTCGCCTTTCTCCATGCGACTCCAAACTCTCCGTCTGAAGAAGCAAGCTGTAACATCTTTTCAGTCTAATAGGTAATTTTGGTCTCAGTCGACTAGGATTTCATGCTGAATGACTTATGTACCAGAATCGTATGAGCACATTTTTGGTAAAAACAAGCTTTGAAGTGATTCTTTGTGGAGAACTCATCTGTTAGTCGACTAAGAATTTCCTTTCTGTTCTGTTCATCAATAGAGACAACAGCATTAGCATGTTTATGTGTGTTTATACATGTGTTTACCTGTAACCATGACAGTCATCGATGATATTTTGGACCAGCGGAGAGGTCATGGGTTGATGGGCGGGTCCAGGGACCAGTGACGCCTTCCCCCAAGGTATCTGTTGCGTGTGATTGGCTCTGGGGTCCCACGTGTAGTTCCCGTGGGTGAGGTTGGCCCCACCTCTCTTGCGACGAGGCAGAGTTCCGTGAATGGAGACTGGCTGGTAGGAAGAAGTGGACTGCTCTGATAGGCCGCTGCCCTGCCCTGGAGGGAAACTGGGGAAGGGAAAACGACACGGGGGGGACAGAGAAGAATAAGACTAAAGCATAGAAGTAAATACAGTAAAACACCCTGAAGACTATACTTTGAGAAAAAAAACCTTCCAGATGTGATTTTATCCTTTTCAAAGCTTTAAACAAGTCGACACAGGGTATAAATGTGATGCAGTCTTTTGATGCTGCTTACTGTACACAGACTAACATGTTAAGCTATGTTCACGTCTCCTTAACATCAAATGGAAGTATTGGATGTCTTGTGTATTCACTTATAAATATTTTCCTCTAATTCAGCCTTACATATTTGCTATTTAGGGAAAGTGTCGGGTTTCCCTTAAATTATGGTTTGTGGGTCTGAATAGAGAAAAAGTAGAACTAGTCTATTTGTTTTGTGATCATCTGCTGATTATTCCAACAAAATGTACTTGTATTTGATTAAACCACTATCTCAAATATCCTAAAACCTGAATTGCCCAACAGAGAGGAGAGAAGACTATACGCTTGTTTAACTCAGTCAGACCGTGAATTCTGCTCAGAGTCTTTGAAGACCCGTTTTGATTGTGTGTCGGTCAGCCAACTCACCCAGGTCTGGAGCTGAGGAGGTCCATGGAGGAGGCGAGGGAGGCCTGGAGCCCCCTGGAAGAGCAGGTGTTGCTGCTGGGGACACCGAGGGAGTTGGAGGGGACTCCAGGGTGTGTAGTGCCTCCTCCCAGGGAGTGGTGTGCATGGAGGGACCTGGGCAGACTGGCAAAACGCCCCTCTGCCATCATCCTCAACTCTGGAAAGAAACGCATGTAAAAATGCAAAGTCAGACTTATTGGACTTGAGTCCTATCAACCAGCACCTTAACGCTTTTGATTTGAAGAGTTGATCTCGGTCCTTCCACTGAAAAAGTACTTTATTGAGGTGATAAATAGATAAAGAAAAGTAGGAGAATTATCCTCACAGAGTGTGACATAACCTCACATACAGTACAATATTAACCTGGAGGAACGCAGTTATTCAACCATTATGTAATGCATTTCTGTGAAGACATATGATCTGAAACACACAAACACACACTGACGTACTCAGTATTATTATAATACATGATCCAGTACAACAGGTTTTTACATGATGCTGGGCTCAAAGCCAATAAGAATTTCACCAGACGATGTGACCTTCCGCATCAGTTTCAACAGACTCTGAATGTCACACCATCAGGGAATGCTGAACGTTCTTTATATACCAGCATGGCACTGAAAACCAGCTTCTTCTGTCTTTGCTCATGGGCTTGATCTTGTCAGACAGACAGACGGATATAACGACTGTGCATAGTGATGAACCGGACAGATAGGTTGTCACTGGCAGTGATGAAAACAGTGGACAGGTTCTTGATATATTCCCCTGTGATGATGACTGGACAGCACGCTATCTTCTGCTCTGAATCCCTCAGCATGCAGCAGTTAGTCATACTGTACAAACTAAAATACCATCAGCTGACAGACACGTCAGTAGACTGGATGGTACGAGATTCCACAAACCCTCCCTGTTTCTAATCTTAGCTAAGAATCTGACATGAACAACCACGCCGGTGTTTGTTATTGTGTCTCTATTTGGACAACCTGATTACGATCAGAGAAAGTAGGCAGCAGAGGAAGCGGTGGGGGCTTGGCTGTGTAGTAGTCGGATGCTGTCCGCCCCGAAGAAGAGGCAATGTTTTGAACCGAGGCGATCGACACGGCTCCTGGTGAAAAATCGTTTCAAAGGCAGATGATCTGTTGTCAAAGCTGTGAATTAGTTTCACCAGGTTCATTGAATGTAAATCAATTATTTCCTTATTTGATTAAGTTAAATGTCATTAGTGGCATTTAACCAGATAAAATCCATTGAGATAAAATTGCTTTTGTGTTGCAATCAGGCCAAGAAGGCAACAAAGAAACGTTGAGTGCACGTCAATTTCTACAATAAAGCAAAACCAAATCAATGCATTAAAAAAATCACATTTAAAGTCCACGCATCAACAGAAGAGGTTAAATAGACATATAGTGTGAGCATAATAAAGCGGGTTTAAGTAAGGCCAAAGAAGTGGGACAAGCCATTCTGTAAATGGGCTCAGCGTAGTGGTATAGGACTGTAACTAGATGTTTACGTGAGGACGGAGAGAAACATGACTTTCACCTATAGGGTGAACTTGAGTTTCCGGGTTGAAAGGAATACTCATGACATGTTGGTTTTACTACGCTTGTCTGCCTTCTTGCTAAATAGATAGGAGGTTGTCCAGGACCTGTTGAGTCTAGCTTAGCACAAAGACTGGGACCTCAGGGACACAGCTAGCTTTTACCAAAAGAGGAAAAATACGCCGTTCAATGGTTCTGAAGTTGTCCTGTTTACATGTATATTGTAGTTCGTTAGCAAGCTAGTTGATCAAAGTATTTTTGTTCCCTGTTTCGGCCTGTCCATTACAAACATGCGATGTGTAACTCGGACCACTTTGCATTAAAACGTCACCTTTTCATGAAGCCAGGCTTGTTGTTTCCCCTGCTTCCATTGTGCTAAACTAAAGTAAATAGGTCATGAAGGTAGCTCTGCACTACATGCACAGGGATGATATTGATCTTTTCATCTAACTCCCTGTTAGAAAGAAAACATTCCCTGATATGTTGGGAGTATTTCCTACAGGGACATACTGTTGTGGAGTGAGAGTGAACTGCTTTTCTGAATAACTTGTAGACACTTCTGCTGCTGTACAAAGGGGACTCGGTACCTGTACTATATAAGTGGATAATAGAAAATCATAAACATATATCATATGATAATCAGAACATAATCATGATAAGATGCAGGTTGATATCCTCTGTGATGTGGTTGGGGTTTGATAGCATTTCATCAAACCAGTTAACTAAATCGTTTTTTAAAAGTCTATTGATAGATATTGTTTCACAATAAAAGCACCATAACTCTGGTGTGTCCATTTGTGATTTGAGAGTGCGTTTCTTTCTCTTACAAGCGACCTTTTTCCGAGACACGGACAGCACATTAACCACTCAAGTTTTACTTTGGCAAGTTACTTACAATCTGTATATTGATTAGCGACAGCTGCTGGTAATGGTATTCATTTCAACTGGCCAAAGCAGCAGATTAAATGCAGAGCCCTGCTACCTCAATGCTTCATACAAGGCTCTGTTTGTCAAATAAAAAGCATCAAGGAGAAATCAAATATTTGACAAAAGATCCATAAGCTTTGGAGCTTAGTGAATACAGAAAACCTGGAATATAAAGTGGAACTAAACCCAACTTCAGCAGGAGGTCACAGAGTCACCAGCTTGTGATGATGAATGTCAATTAAAATGCAAATAGAGGTTTAGGGAAAGGAACAGCTGTCCAGCTCAAGACTCTTCAGCGTGACGAGTAAAGGTAATACACACACACACACACACACACACACTGTAAAAGTCCTGCTAAGGCACGCTGGGTCAGAGTGTGGATTCCTGTGAGGGGCAGAACGACTCCAGGAGGAGGACCTATTATAAGACCCTCAGGGATGGTCAGCTCTGTCTGTGTGTGTGTGTGTGTGTGTGCGTGTGTCTGTGTGTGTTGATGTGTATGTGCGTGTGGCCCTGACCATCTGCCAGACACACACCCTCATCTACCGAGGAGAAAGGACTGTCCCTCACTGAGTGAAAACACAGACAGACAGCACTTACGCACATGAATACTTTGTCAATTAATCTTATGAATAAATTATTCATGCTAAGAGCTAGAGGAAGTCATTTCCACTTCGAGGGAAGGTGTGAAAATCTTACTCACTGTTCTCCTTAACCTCGCCTCTCTCCGTCTTACCCATCTACTCCCTCCACACTATTTCCCTTTTATCCATCTTTCCCTTTCTTTCTCAATCTTTACACCCCCCCTCCACAGACATCCCTCCCTCCCTCTGTCCATCTTGATGTCAGCTCTTCTTTTGCCTCCTCACTTTGTCACCTTCATTCTATCCTTTGTCCTTCCACCTCTCGTAATAACAGACTTTGCTCTTTTTATTCTCCTCTTTCTCTGTCCCTGCATCATCCTCTCCTCCCTACAGCTGTTCAGCCTGTTCAGTGGCTACAGCGCCCTCCATATCACACACACACACACACACACACACACACACACACACACACACACACACACACACACACACACACACACACAAAGAGAAAGAAGGAGCTCTGGCATTTCCTTCACCAAGTCTATAAACAAAGGAATAAAAAGCTATTTTCATTTTTAAGTTAGTTTGTTTGGGTTAGTTCCTACAGTGAGTTAACTGGTAACCTGGCGTGAAGCGTGACTATTTTTGCTGTGGTTGCACATACAGTTTAATGTCAACAACCTTCCGTAAGGATTTAGGATAGCAGTGTTGTCTGGAACTATGTTTGAAAAGTACTGATATAGCATTGCAGAGTTATTTTGGCATCCAGGATTAGGGAAGCAAAACTCCCGCTTCCTCCTTAGACCATGTGAGACGTGTTATTTGAAGCACTTTCAAGATTTGGATCGGCATGGAACTCTCTTAAAAAGTCAAAGGTACAAGCCTGTGTGATAAAACAGGAGAAAAGCAGTCTTTTACTTTCCAATTCTCTGTGTCAATGTTCGATGAATTCAGCGAATACAGTTGGTTTTGTTAACACTTACAATGACGAAGCATTTTAAATTTGCTACAGACACGAAATCTTCAGAAACAAACGGCAGATAATTAAAAGATATTCTTGCATTATTCCACAGACTACCTTGATTCTATGCTGAGGGAGACGGAGGATGACCTGATAATCAGGCGGACATTGTGTTTGTTTCAGTTGGGCCGGATTGTTTCTTGCCCCAACTCGTGAGTAGTGACTGACGCTGCGCCAATGTCATCTTCAGTCAAATCGGAAGCACAGAAGTAGCGGCTGCAAGGAACGGTTAACTTCACGTTTGTCATAATGATCACACAGACTTGACAATTTTTGAGTTATATTTGTAAACCAACCTACAAAAACTCTTTGTAGCTGCTTTGATGTCATTTTTGTAGCCATGTTTCAATCTGTAGCACATGAAAAGATGTGGACTATAGCCCGGGTACAGGATTTTCAACTTCTTGTCATTTACTGACATACGCATTACATATACTGCAATACGATAGATCTCTAATGAGCTAATATTTGGTTTATCAGGCTCTAGTGGTCAGCAACTCAGAGGTATTCAACCAGGCTTCATTGAGAAAAGCATTAAAAGAAAATTGGGGGAATTTACATTGGCAAAATACTCCCAAGAACCAGCGGCTTCCCCGCTGATATAGACACCTGGCAACCAATCGGACGTATTTTCCTTGACCATGGTACGAAAGACAAAATATTGTGAAGAGAGGTTTGCTGTGTCACCCACAGCGGTGAAGACCTTGGGTTGGGAACACCAGCACACACTCACACAAAGATACACAAGGCCTTGGGTGGGAAACAAGCGCAGATTAACAGGAAGAGGAAGTGGCAGTATAAACATTTAGACGGCAGCCAGCTCATTATAAAGGATTACTGCCAATAAAACAAATATCTCTCTTGCTTCCCTTCCTCCTTTTCACTATGAACCTAATTATACCTAGAATTATGTCTCACAATGTTGGAGGACACACACTTTCCTAACAAATTCAGTTTAATGTAATTTAATGTTTTAAAGGTAAACTCTCCCTTTCTCTCCAGCTAGCCATACACATGAGTCAGCAGTAAGTAGGCTTTGTGGTTAATCCACTGAAGTAGCGGTTTTAAAAACTGGCCCCATGGACTA